CCCTCTAAGTCCACTGAAGTCAATGAGCTTAGAAGGGTACAAGTGGGAGCCCGCAAGGACTTGTGGGAGGAATCTCATTTCCTCTCCCTTCACTCTTTCCTCTCCCTCTTTCCTGAAAGCCCCCATAAACTCTCCTCTTTTCCTGTTTCCTTCTCTCTTCAGGGTTGCCCACTCCAAGTTGGGAAGTTCCTGGAAATTTGGGGGTGGAATCTTGGGAAGAAAGGAGAGGACGGAAGCAACCTCAGCAGGATATAATGCCATAGAGTCCACCCTCTAAAGCAGCCATTTTCTCCTGGGGAACTGATCTCGGTCATCTGGAGATGAGTTGTAATTCCAAATTATCTCAAGACCCCATCTAGAGGTTGACAACTCTAGTACCCATGACAGAAATGGATGCTTTGGAGGGTCGAGTCCATACCCTTCTGAGCCCCTTCCCCTCCTCAAACCACACCCTTTCCAGGCTCCACCCCCAATCTCTAGGTATTTCCTAACCTGGAGTTGGTAACCCTATCTCCCTCCCACTCAACAGCCAACCTAACTTTATCTGCCCCTCTATCTTAAGCTTTCCCCCCACCGGCAGCCTTTTCCTAGGAAAACTGTGGCTGAGATTTGTGGTGCTTGCCACTGGGCCCAGTCTACTTGCATGGTAGGGAACCCTCAAGGACTTGTGGGTTGGCACATTACTTTCCCCTCTATCCCCCTCCCCATACTATTTTCTCTTTCCTTCCCTCTGGCAACCCCCGTATCCTCTCCCCTTCCCCTGTCTCATCCCTTCTTCTCAGCCATTCACAAACCTACCTTTTATCTTCCTCCCATCTTTAGCTATATTATTTATTTATTTATACCCCATCTTTCTCCACACTAGTTCCTCATTCTCTCCGCCTGGCAGCTCTCATATTTGGGTTGCTACCCTCCAGGTGGGGCCTACAGATCTTCCAGAATTACAACTCATCTCCAAGGTACAGAGATCAGTTCCCCTGGAGAAAATGGCTGTTTTGGAGGTGCATTCTATGGCATTATATTTGACGGAAGCCTCTCCCCAAACCCTGCCCTCTTCAGATTCCACCACAAAATCTCCAGGAATCTCCTAACCGGGAGATGGCAATCTAATCAAGCATGGCCCCAAGGAGTTTTCCCTCAAAGGTCAAAAATAGGCCTGGAAAGGACCCTGCCCTCTCCCCCTGCCTTTTACTGACAGAACCAAGCCTGGAATAGTGCGGTTGTTTAGCAACAGCCTCTGAGGGGATCTGTCGCTTAAAGCTACAGGAGCTTCTTTTATCATTTTTTGGGTTTTTTAAACCTCCCCAATGTATATATTTTTTTAAGATTTCAATTTTTCTGCAAACCGGTGGCCCTTCTCAGGTTTGTAGAAAGATCTGTCTTGCCCGTTCACAGCTCCCCAAGTCCTTGCAGGTTCCCACTTGTTGTCTTCTGTTATTCACGTGAAAGCAAGTTTTGAGGGTAAGCCTTAGTGAATTAAACACAGTTTAAGCCCTGCCACAGACCAGTCTGAACAACCGCTTCTCTAGTGGCATAGGAGAACTAAAGTTTCATACCTGAATCTATTTTTTGGGTTGGATCCAGCCAGCTTTTTCACTCTTTCTCACCTAATCCTGTTCCTTACTACAGCCCAAATACCACATGACTTTTGTCCATGCAGTTCCCATGATCCCAAGCAAATCCTTTCTGGTAGTCAAAGGAGATCCTTTCCTCCCTTTGTCACAAACAGAAAAGCTGGCTGGATCCAACCCTTTATGTTTACAGTAGTAAGAAATAGTGGCTGAAATGAAAATGCCACAGCATGAACAAAGGTGATTATAGCAGCAATGTGGAGCAAAATAGTGGAGAGACCACTGTTGAAGAAACATTCCATTGATTTTTCCAACTTTGATATTTTTGGTCAGTTTCAAATACTTGATTTTTGCCCGAAAATACCCAAGTAGAGTGTTAGCACTCAGTTACACTGATTTCTGGAGGAAAACTAGATTTCAGTCTGTTTTCTGATCTGGAGGGAAACTATTCTTTAGATTTCAGTCTGTTTTCTGATCTGGTTTTAAAACAGAACTACCTTAATTAACTCGATGGATGACCTACAGCAGGAGATGGACAGGGAGAGTGAATCCCTATTGGACATTCTGTACCTTTTGCTGGCTTTTGATATCAACATTGGTATCCTTCTGGATTGCCACTGCTTGCACTTGGCAGCCTGTTAGCCAGTCAGTCAAAACCTTTATTAGCATAGACTGAAAAAGAAAACAACATTAGCTATGTTTCTTCTTGGAATTGCATTATCAGAAGGTGATCCTGATGGACTCTTGTTCCACCCTGAACTGTCTTATTTGTGGATGCCAGAGATTTCTAACATATCATCTATGGTTTTTAACATACACACAAAGCCACTGTGAAAGGTCCTCAATGCCTTGCTTCCAGGGAAAAGGTTGCCAACCTCCAGGTGAGACCTGGAGATTTCCAAGAATTATAACTGAACTCCGGATGACAGAGATCTGTCCCCCTGGAGAAAATAGCTGCTTTGAAGGATGCGCTCTAATAGCTTCAATGTCATAAATATGTGGATAGCCTCCAGTTCCCCCTCTCATTTCCATTAAATCCTGGGGAGACAGTGGAAATTCTGAACCTCTGTTTGAGATCAGTGAATGCACTTTGCTTCCTGCACAAAGTAGTTGATTTGGCTGTGCTCTGAAGCATGTGACACAGTCCTTTCCCCACCTTAGTTTGCTAGCTTGTGCCAGTCATGGACTCCTCTGATCTGCAGCACTGTAGTACATTAAGACAGAAGCTTTTTTCCACCTTCTCTGTTTTAGCCCCAGGTGGGGAGTGTTCAAAGGTGATTGGAATCAGATGGGGGGGGGGTGGCAGCAGCAACCTCTGTATTCTGCCTTTCACAAGTGGACTTGACCATCTTACAGTGTGTGCAGGTGCCCACACAGCTGTTTTGGCCCTTGAAAACGGGGTAGGGGAAAGAGATCTGCACCACAAGTCCACAGTGGATCAGGGCATCACAGCATTTTAAAATCATGGTAAAATGGTGATAATGAATTGATGCTAGCAACAATTTTGCCTTCTCTTTTAACTGGGCTCAGCAAGGGGAGGAAGTCAATCTCTGTATCTTTAGAGGGGAGCCTCCTCAGCTTCTCTTCCCATCTGTGTGAAGCAAAAATGCCACCCTTCCCCTGCATGCCAGGGAAGCTGTAGCTGTGAAGAAAAAGTGTGTGTGCGCGCACACATACTCGATAAGGGTGCCAACTCCATGTTGGGAAATTCCTGGAGAGTTGGGGGGCGGAGCCTGGGGAAGGTGGGGGAGGGACGTTAATCAGGTATAGTATAGCACCATAGAGCCTATCCTCTGAAGTAGTCATTTTCTCCAGGGGACGTGATCTCTGATGATCACTTGTAATTCTGGGAGATCTCCAGGCCCCACCTGGAGAATATCAACTATATTGCATTCCAGCCTGAGTGCCTAAAGCTAATTTTAAATATTCCTGTACCCAAACCAGAGCAGGATTTTAGGCTTTTGTGGGGAGGGTGAGTTCAATGGAAAATGGTGTTGTAGATCATAATCTGAAGAGGAAGAAACAGACATTTCTATGGTGATACATTGGCAGGGGATACCTATTTGGCACGTTGCAACCCTGGAAAGTGGATTTACAATACGCACTATAAGACTGTGCTCATCATGTGTAAATAAAGGAAGGGATATTTGGTTTCAAACAAAACAGATTATCGTACAACCTTTGTAGAATGATCCCTAGTTGGAGAGACTTTACAACCGCCCATGGTCTGTAACCTTTTGCTCCCTAGGCCCTAATTCTAAACTGTTTAATAGAAATGTTAAAACGAAAATAATATTGGGTTACATCTGCACTACATCATGGCTCATTCATAACAAAGTAAATTCTTTACTCTACTCATTTGCTGTGTGTCCCCCTCCAATAAAAATTTTCTGGCGACAGGCCTGGGTTATTTATTTATTTTTATACATATATTTATTTATATTTATACATATATTATACCAGAAGGGTCTCTGGGTGGTTTACATAGGAGCCTAGGTCTGCTTTCCCTATCTACGGCCACATAATGCAGGGGGGGTTGTTGTTGTTCAGTCGCACAGTCGAGTCTGACTCTTTGCGACCCCATGGACCAGAATACACCAGGCCCTCCTGTCTTCCGCCGTCCTCTGAAGTTGGCTCAATTTCATGTTCGTTGCATCGATGACACTGTCTAACCATCTCATCCTTTGCCGTCCCCGTCTTCTTTGACCTTCAATCTTTCCCAGCATCAGGGCCTTCTCCAGTGAGTGCTCCCTTCTCATTTGGTGGCCAAAGTATTTGAGCTTCAGTTTCATTATCTGGCCTTCCAGGGAACAGTCAGGGTTGATTTCTTTTAGGATTGACTGATTTGATCTTTTTGCAGTCCAAGGGACTCTCAAGAGTCTTCTCCAGCACCATAGTTTATACAATGGAACATTTTCTTAGATGAAGCCTCCGTCCCATATTCAGTGACTAAACCCAGGCCCACGTGCTTCAGCGATTTTGCCCTTACCACGTGCCCAACAGCTAAAAACACAGTCGAGGCACACACTGTAGGGGCGTGGCAGGAATGTCTCTTACTGAAGTGTGATGATCTTACTGGCGGAACAAGCGTTCCTACTCCAGGCAACCAACCTTCCTGTCAGTTACGCCACGCCAGGCGGCGAAGCGGGCCCTGCCCTAAGAACGGGGGGGGGGGGGGGAGAGAGAGAGTGGTTCTCAGCGCTGCTCCTGCTACACACAGACGTTTCCTTCCTTTGCTCCAGCTAGCGGGAGGGGGCAGGGGCGAGAAGAGACAAAAGCGCATGCGCCCAGCTGTCTACCCGCCGCCTCAACCACCCCCGCTCCGCCTACCTTACCGCTTCCGACCAATGAAAGAAGAGGAGTGGGAGGAGCAGAGAGTTGTGGGCGGGGCTGCGCGGGTCGGGCCTTTGCCGTTGCCACTATAGCCGGGCAGGGGCCGTTGCAGTTGTCTCTACAGTCGGGCGAGTGGGATCGCGGGCGGGGGACGCTTGGCCTTTCCCCTCCCAGGTTGGCGGCGCGGTGGGTGCCCCCCCACCGCCTGCCATGGCCGCCGGTGAAGGGAGCGATGAGGAGGCGCGGGTGCTGCAGACTCTCCGCCTGAAGATTTGTGAGTGACTCGGGAAGGGCTGAGTGAAATCCAGCCTGGGTACTGGGGGGTATGGGATGGGGACGGGGGAGGATAGAGCCGGAAGGAAGGGCCTTCGCCTCGAGGCGGCCTCACTGACTCAGCCGCCGCGCTAGTCCAGCCCTCGCCGCGTTCCTCTGAGGCGCTGCTCTGCCTCGCCTCTCGGGTGGTGGTGAGGGGAGGACTGGGCTGTCTGAGGGGGAGGAGGAGGAAGGGCCTTGGGTGGCAGGGAGGGGGCCGTATAGAGGGGCGGGTCATAGGTGAAGCACACCTGTGGGGCATGCTGTGGGGGGAGGGAACGATCACATTTTGTTTATGAGCTGGGGTGATTAAAATCAGAAGTACAGAGGGGAGTCTTAAGGGCAGGGTCTTGTTGAGAGGGTGTGGGCATTGCCTTGACATTAATTGCTTCATGTATACCCGTTTTCTCCAGTGGAAACCCAGAGTGGCTTATGTTGTTCTCCTTGTCTTCATTTTATACTCACGACGACCTTGTGAGGTAGGTTAGACTGAGAGGGAGTGACTTGCTCAAGGCTGCTGTGGGGGTTTGAACCGGGGTCTTCTAGATCCTTGTCTGACTTTGTAATGACTTCACCACACCGAATCTCTAGCAACAGCCTAGAAAGCAAGCGGCGGGGGGGGGGGGGGGGGAGAGGAGAATGATGAGCTTCTTGTGAGAGCACTGGGGAGAGTTACATGGAAAGACAAGGGCAGAAAGGACTGAGACACTGAGCAAAACCATCCTCCTGACATTCTTTCTCAGTGCTGGGTGAAGCAAGTGCTTCTTTCCCTCATCCTGTCAGTTACCGTAGAGACTGTTTCAGTTATTATATGGTGGCAATCCTAGTTTGCTGCTGAACGCCCACTTGACAGAGAGCCCCTGGATTCCTGTTGAGAGTATCAGTTCGCTTCATGTGTCTCTAATTACTTGTCATAGTCACACTCCACTTTATTTTAGGGTACACTTAGGATGTGGTGTGTATGAATTAACCCCCAGAAATCTGTTCTTAGTTAATATGTAACAATACATGGTATTTATATAGTATTTTGTGGCATTCAAAGCACTTCATATACATTGTCTTTGAAACCATTTGTCTTTGTGTGTTTGTGAAGATGGCTAATGTAGTGGAGGAGGCTTAACAAGGGTGTGAAGAACAATGTTGTAGTGACTGTAGATGGGGACAGCTAGTGAAGAGTGTATGGTATACCTAGTATTAAATTAAGAGAAGAGTATATGTAGCTGTTTGCAGTAGATAAGCCAGGAGAAATCAGGGATATCTTGCATAAGAAAAATGAGTTATGAAGTTTTTGACCATTTATATAATGTTGTATTCTGAAAAACCAGCTTGTTGGGTCAGATATTAAGAGAAAGAAGAATTAAAGTTGTGATGTAGTGACCTGCCAGTGAAATAGACAGTGGGGATGTGGTGAGGTGAACTTGAACTGCAACCCTGTTATTAGTGTACATCAAGAAGGTATCAATAGAACAAGGATGCTGGTATATAATGGTACTGGAAATGGCATGGGTGAAGAGTCCGGGGTTTTTATTCATATTATTCTGGTAGGATGGCAGTAGCAAAAATAGTGGGGGGGGGGTTTGAAAGTGTGTCTAAGTTGGTGGTCTTGGCTCTAGTTAAGGCTGCATTTGTAACTGTCAGAGCAGCTGAACAAATGTATACTTTGTAGTGGTCCCAGCATGTATTTGGAAGGCAAATAATACAACAAGCTTGCTGTATCTCAGCAGGTGTGGGTCTCTTCAGTTGTAGACCTCTTGAAAATCCTTTGTGTGCTACCTTGAATTCCACAGTGGCAGAAAGGTGGGGCATAAAATAAATAGAGCTAGTAGAAGCAGTGCCAAGCAGATGGAATGACATGGCTGCTGTTTAGTTGGGAAATGCTCTTCAGTATTTTGATCTATATCAAAATGAAAATGTCATTTTTTTCAGTGTAGTGCATCACATCTGTGTGTAGTATTTCAAAGTGTTTTGTTTAATGTTTTAAAATAAACTGATGAACAAAAACTGAAATGCGTATGAATCTTGTGAAACACATGATGTAGCAGGAAGTTTGTACAGGACGTTCTGGAAGTGGTTATTTGTTACTTGTTTCAGTATCTTAATGGGATGGAGAGCAGTAGTATCCATGTTAACTTGGCCAAATGGTGGCAAAGAAGATTATACATTTGGGGAGCAAGAAAACCTAAGACTGCGTGATCAGAAAATTCAGTGGGCAAGAAAATAAATGTGATGTAGCTGGCATAGATTTCAGGGTAGCTAGGACAAACAGGATGTAGTGGTTTTCCGAAGGTGGGGGGGATAGAAGTACATTCATGTAAGTCGAACGTAACCCACTTCCTTTCTCACACTTTTATTCAGTCTTCTACAGAATGACTGGCAGCAGTTTTAACATCCATTTTAATGTGGAACTAGGTTTCATAATGTTTCCTTTGAATAAGATCATCTATAGAAAAGTATTCTTAGATTGTAGTTCTAATGTGCATACAACATGTCCTATCTTCATTATCAGATTCATTCCCAATAGTGCTTAGTTTTTAAAGAAGAAATGTATTGCATAAAAGTTGCCTCTGAAAAAATCAAGACCTGGAGCTGACTGTGGCTCAGATCATGAGCTACTCATTGCAAAATTCAGACTTAAACTGAAGAAAATTGGGAAAACCACTAAGCCATTCAGGTTTGACCTAGATCGCATCCCTGATGAATATACAGTAGAGGTGAAGAATAGATTCAAGGGTCAGGAGGCAGCAATCACCACCATCCCAAAGAAAAAGAAATGCAAGAAAGCAAAGTGGCTGTCTGATGAGGCTTTACAAATAGCAGAGGAAAGAAGGAAAGTGAAAGGCAAAGGCGAAAAGGAAAGATTTACCCAACTGAATGCAGATTTCCAGAGAACAGCAAGGAGAGATAAGGAGGCCTTCCTGAATGAACAGTGCAAAGTAATAGAGGAAAACAATAGAATGGGAAGGACTAGAGATCTCTTCAAGAAAATTGGAGAAATCAAGGGAGCGTTCCATGCAAAGCTGGCCATGATAAAGGACAAAAATGGTAGGGACCTAACAGAAGCAGAAGAGATTAGGAAAAGATGGCAAGAATACACGGAAGAATTATACAAAAAAGACCTCGATGTCCTTGACAACCACGATGGTATAATCACTGACCTCGGGCCAGACATCCTGGAATGTGAAGTTAAATGGGCCTTAGAAAGCATTACTAACAACAAAGCTAGTAGAGGGGATGGTATTCCAGCTGAGCTATTCAAAGTCTTAAAAGATGACGGGTCTGCTATTGGTTCACTGACTTCAGCCTTTGAGAAGTTCCTGGTGGTGATGCACTGTGCTAAAACTGATGCTGCTTTTGGAAGAGCAGTTCTTCAGAGCCTGTTTCTTCAAGACGACCTGCAGATAACATCAGGTACATGGCTCCCTAGTCATCAAATCACCGCAGACTGTGACTGCAGCCATGAAATTAAAAGACGCCTGCTCCTTGGGAGGAAAGTGATGGCGAACCTAAACAGCATGATAAAAAGTAGAGACATCACCCTGCCAACAAAAATACACATGGTCCAAGCAATGGTATTCCCAGTAGTCATGTATGGCTGCAAGAGATGGACTATAAGGAAGGCCAAGTGCTGAAGAATAGATTGCTGGGGAAAAGATCAACAACCTCAGATATGCAGACGATAGCACTCTAATGGCAGAAAGTGAAGAGGACCTAAAGAGCCTCTTGCTCAGAATGAAAGAGGAGAGCGCAAAAGTGGGCTTGAAGCTCAACATCAAAAAAACTAGGATCATGGCATCCGGCCCCATCACTCCTTGGCAAATAGAAGGGGAAGTCATGGAAGTAGTGACAGATTTCACGTTCCTGGGATCCCAGATCACTGCAGACTGTGACAGCAGCCATGAAATTAAAAGACGCCTGCTCCTTGGGAGGAAAGCGATGGCGAACCTAAACAGCATGATAAAAAGTAGAGACATCGCCCTGCCAACAAAAGTCCGCATGGTCAAAGCAATGGTATTCCCAGTATTCATGTATGGCTGTGAGAGTTGGACTATAAGGAAGGCCGAGCGCCAAAGAATAGTTTCTTTTGAACTGTTTATTTATACATTCAATTTATTTTACCGCTCTGACCCCGAAGGGTCTCTGAGCGGTTAACAGGTAGTTTCAAATACATTTTTCCCTAACTAAGGCCACATAGTATACAGGGGTGGGGCTGCCTACTGGCACCCAGGTGGCAGGGCTGTTGTTTTCCGGCTCCGGCATTCTTCCTCCAGGCGGTTTCGGGGTCAGCGTCCTGTCTCTGGTGTGCAGGGGCAGGTCAATTTCGGCTATGGTGCTGGAGAAGACTCTTGAGAGTCCCTTGGACTGCAAGAAGATCAAATCAGTCAATCCTAAAAGAAATCAACCCTGACTGTTCCCTGGAAGGCCAGATAATGAAACTGAAGCTCAAATACTTTGGCCACCAAATGAGAAGGGAGCACTCACTGGAGGAAGACCCTGATGCTGGGAAAGATTGAAGGTCAAAGAAGACGGGGACAGCAAAGGATGAGATGGTTAGACAGTGTCATCGATGCAACAAACATGAAATTGAGCCAACTTCAGAGGACGGCGGAAGATAGGAGGGCCTGGCGGAAGCTGGTCCATGGGGTCGCAAAGAGTCAGACTCAACTGTGCGACTGAACAACAAAAAATGTTCAGATTTTGTTTAAAGCCCAAACATATAACGTCTTGTCTTGTAATAATTATGGTTGTATTGGTACCTTCTGAACATTGCTGTAGTGTGGTCAACCAATTACATCATTTTTCTCTGCTCTATTAAGTTTAAAATTGTGTGTTACAAAGGGACAAATTTGCTGCCTTGTTGACATATTGAAGGGGTTAGTTTTACACTAAAAGCCACTATTTTTAAGGTGACTCTTCCTTCTTAAGTTGTTACACTTTGGAGCCTATGAGAATGGGGCTTGCTGTTTCCTTCTGCTGCTGCACCGCAGCCCGTGAAGCGATGCCTACCCCACCTAGGTCAGGGACCTTCAGAAAAGCATAGGGGGCAGAGGTTAGTCTGCAGTACATTGAAGGAATTAACAAAAATTGCCCTTTCTGCAAATGCAAGTGCTGTTACACCATTGGAAATGGACCCCAGGATTGAAATTCATGTTCTTTAGTCCCTGTGACACTAATGCAACAGAACCAAAATAACCTAAAAAAATTACATTAGTTCTCTTTATTGAAAAATTAAATGAACATTAATGCTTGGAAATAATAGCTCAAAAGGTAATGATGCCTTATACTATGAGATAAGAACTTTATGTACAATCTTTGCATGTAATTCAACTCATATATTTTCATACATTCTGGAAAGTATTTGTTGTTCATATTTGATAAACATATTTAGGAATACAGTGAATGTTTGTAAATTGCAAGTGTCTTGACTGTATTGGTTTACCGAGGGAGCTGTAAGTTGCACACCGAGCTGCAGACAGGTCTAGCTAGCACTGTTGTGCTCTGAATTTTCTTTGTAATTTTACATTCATTTCTTAGTTTCAATAGTAATCAGTATTTATGTAGTGCTTCCGTAATGTTTAAAGGCTTTTAATAGTTTTTAGTAATCCTTATAGTACTTCTGCGTAGTATGATAGTGTCATCCCAGATAAAGCAGGGTTAGGAAAGATGGCTGAGAGAATAGTTGGAGCCCATGCTCCACTTGGGTGTAAATCCTGTTGAACTCTGTGGAACTACTTCAGAGTAATATGTAGAATTAAGTTCAGTGGTCACCTAGTAAGTTCATGGTTGATTTGAGAATGGAGCCAGATTCTTCTCCAGCTTGTCTTCTTTACTTCACTTTTTTGACAAGTACACTATGGCATACTTCATTTGTTTGTTCATATCTTAACTGGTTGCTGAATCTGAGATCAGCCCACCCCAGGTCCTCCTGTAACTGTCTTTAGTTGTGGAACCTGTGAGGCTCCTCTGCGCCCAGCAGTACAGCCTCTTGATGGCCAAAACAAGGCCTCATGTTGTAAAACCACCTCCTCTGTGGAAATGGCTACTTAAACCACTGGAAAACAGTAGATTGAATGCTCCTAACAGGTACTGCCTTCTTTCCATGGGAAAGAAATGGTGAATAAGGTGGTTATCTAGTAACAGTGCTGTTAATAGTTATGGCTTAAAATAATCAAATCATCAAATACTGCATGTGGAACTTTCTACCTTCAGGGAACTCTTTCAGCATCAGCTTCTCAGAGCCCTGAGCTTTGCAGAGGATTCCAGGGCATGCAGCAGTGATTACATTCAGTTCATATAGGCTTGTCAAGCCTGTTGGCTTCACTGTTGCCTCACTTGAACTGAAAGTATGACCTAGAACACAACCAGTGCTTTCCAGCATGCAACTCCCTATCCTGCATTAAAGATTGGTAGTGGCACACAAGCTGTTCCTAGGGAAGCTCGTTCTGCATTACTGATAGTCCTTATTAGGAATGTCTCACAAGCTTTCGAAAAACATTGGGTTTTACAGTTTGAACACCACTGATCATAGTATTTCTGTAGTTTCTTGGACAGGGAGACCAATAATGTGGGTTCATGTCTAACCTGTAGTATTACTGGGCCTTTTAACTTTTGGTAATAAAGTTATTTGACTGGGATGCTTTGCTTGTTAGTAACAAGAACTGGAGATATCACTGCCATAGAATGGAACTCCATTGCTGTTTGTACAGGTATTGGTTTGAGTGTGCAATATTTTGCTGATGTACTGAAGTTCTAAAATGCTTTTCTTCTGAGTTTAGGTAGATCCCAAGTAGAATGATTTCACCAGGGTTATCAGGAAAACTAATGTAATGTGTTATTTATGTTCTTTACGGAAAAGTATCCCTTTCTACTAACTGCTTTTTAAAGCTGCATTACCATTTTATTTTATAAATAAATTAATACATTGTCCAAGTAAAATGGTCTAGTAATAAAGCTGGCATACTTCCTTTATTTACTTTTGGAGCTTATTTGCATATTTCACTGGCAAGGTGTTATCTCATGTACTCCCCACTGTAATGTGTGAACATGAGTTTAGTACAGTTGAAGAAATTGTGCAGACTCTCACTGAAAACATACTAATTAAATGATTGTGGATACATAATGAGTGATGTTACAGTTAACAAGGGCTTTATAATAGATTATTAAACAAGATAGTGTTTTGTGAAAAAGGAATAGGAGATGGTTAACACCTAATCTAGACTGTATGTTTGTGTTGTGACTTGCAGCCATATTGCTTTAGGCTGCTTCAGCAAGCTGTGTCAAGCCTAACCGGTTACCAAGATGGGATTCCTCTCTAAGGAAAGTGCAGGTGTGGCAGGAAGTGGTGTTAATGAGACTGTGGGAGGAAGCCTTCTGTTTATATCAATACTGAACCTGTTCCTATCATGCTGTGCTATTCTGGAGGGGATAGATCTTGTCACAAAAGGAGAAAGCACAGGCCTTGACTATGATGAAGTTTCCTTTTTTAATTTCTCTGTTTTCTATGGTATGTTTTCTTGATCTATGTTGCTTTCTGTTAGTGGTGTGGGGTTTCACTTAATTCAGAAAATAATGAATTATGAGTTTTGTAATATTTTTTATTTTCCTTTCTGTATGAAAGCTCTGCAGGTAGCTATAGTGTTGTAAACCAATTGCACTTTCCCCCTGTATGGTGTTTAAAATTATTTTCTTGTCTCACTAGGTGAAGCCAAAAACTTAGTGCCATACTCTGGACCAAACAAGATGAGAGACTGTTTTTGTACAATCAATCTAGATCAAGAAGAGGTTTTTCGCACTCAGGTAGTAGAGAAATCTTTAAGGTAAGCCATTTATCATTGTATAATATCTAAATCTTAAAATAGCTGTTTGCTCACAGAGTGAGTTGAAATGACCCCTAGAAAAGCTTAAAGCATAATAATTTCCAAATGAATCCTTTTAGTATCCTTTCTAAGGTTTTTGCTGGATCCTTCTCATAAGACTTGCCTATGAAAGGTGGTATGAATAATTCACTCCAGCATTTCCTCCCATGTGCACTCCAGAACAGGACTCAACAAATACGAGATTGCCATGGTGGCTAGAAATTTCATTGTAGCACCTAGAATTTTTAGGAATGACTTTATTGTAGCATATCGCATACATTCTCAGTGGAAGTACAAAGAGCTGGATCCAACCAGTTTTTGTGCTTGATGACCACCACAAAGACTGCTTAGGATCTTGGGACCTACATGGACCGTGTGGAGTAAGGGCTAAACAGGGGAATTGGCCATGACTGAGTGAAAAGACTGGCTGGTGCCCACCCAGAACTTGTTTATCACTTCTCATCACTTTATCTTACACAAAAATAAATATGCACAGTTCTTGTCATAACTTGTTTGTATGTAAACTTAACTCTACACCATTCAGGAGTGGTGGATAAATTCATTTCTTAAGCAGTTATGTTCTACAGTGGTCTAATATTGAATTAATTGAGCTTTTTAAAGCAGTAATGTAATTACTACAGATTGGGGAGAAGTTAGGATGGGGTAGAGGTTATTTTTTTTTGTGATGACAACCAGGGTTTCCTCTATGTTTATATTTAAATATTACAACACCTTTGTCATAGTTTCAATAAAATGAGAATCTGTGAAGAGGTTAGGGCTAGGGTTTGTGACAGCAATAATTAGGATATGTGATCACTAAAATACAAAACCCTGAAGGCTGAAAAATTACTCTGGCTCCTACATTTTGGGGCTGGGTCTTAGAGCCAAATAACATTTGTAAAGGACTGCTTAGAAAAATCATGCCATCAGCATTGGCCTCAAAATCAATCTTGTACATTATTTCATTGTAATTTCTACAGAAAAGTTGTAGAGTGTTTCTGTAGGTTCTCTAAATGTACATGTGATATCTGATAATGAAAATGTAGCTGTATAACTGATATCTGGATAATAATGAAGAGGCAGGGTAGCCTTGAGTGTCTTACTGAGTCTGCCTCTCGTACAGCGCAAACTCTCACTCACCCCTCTCCCTGTATGTTAAACCAGGATGCCTTCACAGGATGTAGCATGTTAAGCAATGGCACTACTCACCTTGGCCAATAAACCACTTCCACATTGTAGGGAGGGCTATCCCATTGACTTTACTCTCCTTCAAAGTGAGGCTGGAGATTGCAGAAGTTGTTGCCGTTCAGATTCATGAGACACCAGCTTATGAATGGACAGAGCTCATGAAACAAAGTAAGGTCTGTAGAAAAGCTGTGCATTATTTTAACAAAACGAAATTCCTTATGTTGAGTCATTATCTTCTTCCATCCATTTAATTAACCATCCAATTCTAGATGAGTAACAGTATTTTTGGAGGTTAGAAATACTATCGTGTCTTGCACATCCTACATATTAACCTTAGATTTCTTACAGTTATAGAGGTGGAACATTTTTGCATAATTTTTAACTTTCGTTCCTGTATTCTTATAGGAATGTACTAAAATGGGAAATTCATTGTAGGTATACTTGACATTTAAATTAATTTTACCTAACAGTGATAAATTTAACTTTGCCCACAAGGATAATTTGTTTAAATCTTTTAAATAATTTTTTCAACCTTTAGCCAATACATATTTTAACACCGTCTATAAGAGTACTACATTGTGAGACCTAGGTTAAGATGTACAGAAAGAACTAATTCTTTGAAGAAGGTTTGTGTTCGGAGGAGGGCGGAGCTAAGCGCTACATGGTGGACGCATAGGAGGAAAGCTCCCGACTTCAACCCCCTAAAATCAACTTGAAAGCGCTTCCAAACGGACTTAATGCCAAAAAAAGGAATAAATAACTCGTCCGGAAAGCAAGCGGCTAAAAATAAAAGGGCTGCGAAATCTGTTTCGGAGTTTTTTTCGCCTTCAAACGCGGCCGCGAGCGAGGCCTCAACAGCACAAACGGTGGACAAAATGGCGCCCGATAGATCAACTGAAGAAAACCCCGCAGAGACGGAAACGGGCCCAATAACTAAACGGGATTTAAGAGAACTCAGAGAAGGCATTCTGCACTCCATATCGGAAATCGTGGAAGGAGTGATCCAGCCAATACAAACGTCAATAAATAACATGGTACAAGAAATGAAGGAGATTGCCAAAACAGCGGACACGGCGGCTGAACTGGCGATAACGATGCAAGAAGAGGTACGTTCACTGCAAGCTTTTGAAAACTCAACTTTAAATAGGCTGGCAATTTTGGAGAATAAATGGAGGCAGATGAATCTTAAATTTCGCGGCCTCAGGGAGGAAGAGGAGGCAAAATCTGATTTACCAACGCTGATGTCAGAGTGGCTGGCGGAGGTCCTCGGCTTGGGGGAGGGAAGGAGGCCAGCCATAATAAGAGCACAGCGTCTTGGAGCACTAGCAACGGCCCGAAATGAAAGACCTAGAGACATACTGGTTCAATTCGCCTACCAGACTACAAGAGACAAAATTTTAAGAGCAGCAAGATCCAGTAATGGTTTGAAATATCTAGACCATAAAATAATAGTTCTTTTGGATCTTGCTCCTGAAGCTCTGGAAAAGAGGAAGAGCCTCAAATTAATCACCTCGAAACTCAACATGGCAAAAATCCGGTTTAGATGGAGCCCTGCATCAGACGTGATAGTTTACAAGAACGGACTACAGTTCCAAGCATCGGATAAAATCACAGGACGAGCCCTGCTAAAGGCACTATCGGTGAAGTTAACAACGGAGGAAGAACAAGAACTTGCAGGGGAATGACTTTTTTTTCCCAAGCCCTTTTATGTGCATTTATAGCGGGAAATCCTAGCCCTTGGACCGGCTAGGTGAGTTCGTCAACCTTGCTACTAAGTTTTTCATCTACAGTTACAGCTATACTCAGCATTTTCTGGACAGATTCGGTAAAGAGAGGAACCCAGTTGTTGCATTTTAAGTTTGTTTTAGAGTGTAACCCTAATCTTGTAAATAGTAGTTAAAGGCAAAACTTACAAGTATTGATTTTGTATTTAAGTGATCTAAATAACTTTTATTGTTTATTGAAATTGTGAAACTGTTAACAGTGAGAGAAGAAGTATTATATTATTTTTATGGTATTAAGTCGGAGGAAAGGCAAGAGTAGAGGTTATTACTAACTTTACTTTTGAAAACATATTATATTGCTTATGAAGTTTATTGGAGAAACAAGGAGAAATCTCGCCTTAAGGATTTTTGTTTAGAAATAGCCTATGTAATTTTGAACTTTAACAAATGTAGGTAGAAAGATAGTGTAGTTTGAAATCTTTGATTATAAAGGTGAAGAAATCAGACTGTTTGCATTAAATTTTATATACCTTATATTATTTAAATTATAAGCAAAGCTATGTGTGTTTATGATATAGAAAGGTGAGGAAACCAAGAATTTTTTCTTTTCTAAGTTAGGTATGATTTTTGGATGATTTTTTTGAATTCAGCTCATTATATATGGATATATATTCCTTAGAAAAGTTAAATTGGATACATCAAAACTAATGTATGGCTATATATGGTGGATTTCATCTCAATTTAATTATATTTTTTAAATTTAAGTTAAGTTAATTGTGTTACTGATTGAAGAAGGGAACGAAATCAAGGAATTTTTTTGTTAATATTGAACATGGTTTTTAATGGTTTATATGCATTTGATAATCATCCAGAGAGAACTTTTTTCTTTTTTCTTTTTAAACTTAGTTTTATATCTTAATTTGAGTTCAACTGGGTATAGGTAAATTGAAGGTGATTTAACCTAGATATTGTGTTACAACAGCTTAGAACTATTTAATACAGCCTTATAACATTGGTTAAGCATGCTGGAATGGCTCTAGTCTAAGAAGCCCGACATACCACAAGGATAATAACAGAAATAGAAGGAAGAATGAAAAAAGGCAAGAATGGAGGCATGAACATATTACAATAGGAGGGGAGAAGGAGGTTGAAAGTTAAACTTATCAGAATTTAAAATATAATATACCCTCAGTTTTGAATAGGTTCTAAACAGGGAGACTTAAGTGGATCTCCCTCTGGACTGTCCTGTATTTATAGGATTGTCCAATAGACCTACACCCTGGTAGGGTGATTTTAGAGGTTAGGTTTATAGTTAAGTGAGTTTTGGGGAAGAGGGAAGTTTAGGGGAGGGAGGATTGTTGTAGAATTGTTTTAGTATATAAACAGAAAAGGCGGATGGCGCAACATTTGAAAATAGCCACCTGGAATGCAAGGGGATTAAATAATAAAATCAAAATTAGAAGAGCAACAAATTATTGGGCTAAAAAGAAAGTACATATTTTGTGCATTCAAGAGACACATCAAAAATAAAGAAAGTAAAATATTGAAGAATAACTGGTTTGAACATCAATATCAGGCTATAGGAACATCAAAGGCGAGAGGAACGGCAATATTGATTGCTAAAAATGTTCCCTTTATCTTTGAGGCAGCAAGAACGGATCCTAGGGGTAGATATATTTTTATCAAAGGAAAACTGTACGATGAACCCCTCACTTTAGCATCGATATATGCCCCAAATACAGATCAGATCCCATTCATTCAAACTACATTGCAAGAACTAATGAATTTTAAAAATGGCGAACTCATTATTGGAGGGGATTTGAATTACATAGTAAATCCCAAAATAGATAAAACATATAAAAAACACCCAGTAAAACAGATAAAACAAGCCATGAAAAACACACAACTTGAGCAGATTTTTAAATATTTTAATTTGGAAGACGTATGGAGAGTACAAAACCCTGGAGTTACACAATATACCTATTATTCACCCAGACACGACATCTATTCCCGTATAGATTTCATTTTAACATCCAAATCAATGGTACCTCAAATATTAACATCAGAAATAGGAGATTGCAATTTGTCAGATCATGCGTGGGTGGGGTGCAACTTGGAGAAAAAACAATCAGACGGTAAAGGTCCAATCTGGGTGATGAATAAATTAATTTTACAGAACGAATCTTTATGTCAAGGTTTACAACAAAAGATTGAAGAATATTTTAAATTTAATGAACAGTGTGAAGCAAAGCAGGCTAACATCTGGGATGCATTCAAGGCGGTCTTTAGAGGGCATGTCATTTCGGCAGCCTCAAACTACAAAAAAGAAAGAAACAAGGAGATTAATGAACTACAAAATAAAATCAAGCAATTAGAATTAAAGCATATGAAGCATGGGGGGAAC